CGTCTGTCGCGGGGGGGGGAAGAGAGAGAGCGCCCGCGACGTGCACGCGCCTCGCCCCCCCCTCCACCAACGACACACACTCTCTCTCTCCCCGGCGGTTTAACCTCGAAAGGCACGCGCTGGAACGTGGGAAGCGTGCGACACGGGGGTGGGGAAGAGTCACGGTGCTTCTGAAGTCGTGGACGCGTGGTTGTTGGGGTTATTTTTTTAAGGCTTTGACGCGCATGTGGAGGTCGGATTCACACGACGGGGTGTGGGGGGGAGAAGAAAGATTTCCCTCGCGGGTTTAAGTCACGCGTCAGGGATCGGGTTCACACGAAAGAAGAGTGCTGTGAAAGGGGCAGTCGTGTCCTCCTCTGGCTGCTGCACAAGGGCGGGCTTTCACTTAACATGGGGCTTATTTTCGGGGAAACAGGGTATGTGTGTATATATACACAAACACAAAATATATGCATATGTATATGCATATGTACACACTTGCATCTCCATATGTAAATTTTTGGACATGCAAACCTACAGTACATGTCTCGGTTATATAGAGATGTATCAATATTTGTACATACTGTAGCTAAATTAGAGCAGATAGTTGTTTATAATTAACAGTATCTTCCAGGACCCAGAATGGACTTGTCTGCTCATTGATGCTTTAACAATAATCTCCACCCATCCACCTCCGAATCATCTGTCAAAGATACAGTAGATGGCTGGGTTGGAGGGACGGATAAAACTACTGTATATAGAAAGCGTAGGGAGAAAAATAAACTGCAAACGATAAGCAACAGAGTTCTCTTGGGTGCTGGATTGCAACTCCCATCATCCCCAGGCCAGCAGGGAGGAACGATGGGCCAATAAAGATCTGGAAGACCAGGCCTTCCCTTCCTGTCCTATGCAGCCACAAGGAACAAACAAACAAAGGTCTGGGGAGGTTGGTGGACTACAAGACCCATCATCTCCTGCGACAGCCATAGCCCAACCTCTGGTTTTTGCATCCTAACCCCTTCGCATGCAGAAGGGGGCACCTCCAGATGTTGTCCAGATGCCAACCCACCCTGGGCCTCCGGAAAGATAGCATCTGGCCCACCACAAAGCCCATGGGGGGGGGGCCTTTTCCAGGGCCTGCTCAATAATGTTGAAATTTCGCAGCCCGCCCAGCCTGGCCTGCCCATCATCCTCGTCACAGAGGAAGGAGGGAGGGGAGAGCCAGGGACGCTTGAAACGTGCAGCCAGATGCTCCTGGCAGCTGCTGGTACAGAACATTGCAAAGGCGGGAGTCCTGGGGAAAGCCGTTCCCAATTGCAGTCAGCATTTCTAGCCCAGCGGAGTTGAAGCAAGGAGGGGAAATGGGCTAGTGGATGCTCTTATCCTCTGCTCATTTCTTCCCTCTTTAAATTCAAAATCCATAGCTGTCCCAAGCCCAGATCCGTCCTACTTGGATCCAGAAAAGTACTCTTGTAAAACAAAGCACAGGGATGCGTCCATGTGGAAATGTTATGTTTTCAGACAAGTGCACGCAACAGTTCAACATTTAAAGCTAAAAGGAGGCTATTCGGGGCCTGAAAAAAAACCTGCTTTTTAAAATCCTTCATTTCATCACCACTGGTGCAAAATTTGGTCATGATCTCAGGATGGAAATGCACATTAATTTTGTTTAATATCCTTACGTCTTCGGATTTTAGAAATGTGCTTTTCATGCATCCAATCTCTGCCACCTCTACCTTCTCACCAGTGCCGTTTTTGAGACCTCTGCTTTTTTATGGGGGCAGGCGTTTCATTGAGGGGTGATGACGGATGGCAGGAAAATGACTTTTTTTGGAAATGTTCCACATCTGTGCGAGCAAGAGGAACGGCTGGATTTTGCAGAGTGGCGGCTTGGGGGGGAATCAATTTTCCTCAATTTCACCCTTTCTTGCTGCTGAAACTTGCAATAATAATAATAATAATAATAATAATAATAATAACAACAA